GTCTTCTACGATGTTCCCTGAGCCTTGGTGGAGCCGATACAGATTTCGTCTTTAGAGCTGCCTACTTAACAGTTACTTATTACTGGCACTTTCCCAGTATGAGTCTCTGTGTTAGCCGTACGTCTTGCAAACAGAAGCTTTTATGACCAAAACTGAGTGCAGCAGTTACCTCTGGGTATAACCGTGTGCATTTAGAATTCATTTGACGTCAAGTTGATTGAGCTTAACAGTAGCAGGTTTCTCCTTAGGGCCTATTGCTTCCACAGCCATGAACTTGTGAGCAGAGTTCCAGGTTCTAGTTCCCGCTTGATTTCCCTGTTCTTCAATCATTGTGTCTGGCGTCTCTAGCAATAGCATGTTACCGTTCAGTTCTGCTTGGCTTTGTGACTCCTCATTTTTGGCTTTTCTACCCAAACGAAAAAATGCACTTTCCATCGTGATCCAGCAGGTGTAGCTCAAAGCAAAGGCCCACAAAACGTAAGTTAGTGGTAAATGATACTCTCGGATAATCATTTTGCCTTCTCTTCTTCCTCCTCCCCTTCTTGCCCCAATTTCATTCATGAAAAAAAAAAAGACGATTTTTGTTTCAGTTTGCTTCAACTGAGTTAGACCATAGGGTTGGGATCTATAGTTTTAAACAACAAAAACACGTAAGGCTCTTGTTGCCAATGTTGACTCCCTGAATTTCATCCTTGAGGACCACACAGTAGAGGGAGAAAGTTGATTCCTCTGATTTCTGTATGCTTTCCCACTCTCCCTTGTCCTCACCACCAGGGTGAGGTCTTCTGCATTGCCCTGCTGTGTTCACTCCTTGCCACCAAGGGCAGGGGGCGGGGGCAGCTCTCCTGCCCTCATGTTCTCAGGGTTAGATCTCTACCTGCCTCAGGTGTTGATGGGTGGGGGGGGGAGGCATCTCTCTCCTACTCGGGCCGCCACATGATGGGTAAGTAATGGGGACAGCTGTTCTATGCTCACAGTATCAGGGCTGGCTCACCAATGGGGTTGCCCCTGTTGTGCTGCCCACATAAGGTGCAGGGCCTGCTCTCCCGAGTCTTGCAGCTGGTGGCAAGATGGGATAGCTCTGCCGCCCTTCTGACCTCAGTGCTAGCTCTCCCACCTGCCTAAAAATTAAGTTTTTATAACATTTAAATTTCTAATATGCCTTAAAATCATATTGAAAAACAACTTGTTTTCTTCTTTTTGTTATGAAATTTTTAGGTTAGCATACAAATAATGAGTGGATCTCATTATGGCGTCTTCATACTGTTTATCTTCTCTTAAAAAGTCCTTTCCTACTTTTCTTACTCAGCTTAATTGCTCTCTTTTCTCTGTTGCTGGACGTATCGGTCAATTTTTCCTGACCCTTCTTTAGCTGCATTTAGTACAATGAGAGTCACTGAGCTGTATTCCTTACCATTTCAGTACACCTTCTCCCAGGTCTTACTTAGTATAGTTGTTACATTTAGCCATGTGGCTAACATAGATAAGAATAATGGGCTAATATAAGTTGTAAGAGTTAATAAGAAGCCTGAGCTAATGGGCCAATCAGTTTATAACCTAATGTAGACCTCTGTGTGATTTTCTTTGGGGCTAGATGGCTGTGGGACCTGGTGGGAGGACAGAGACCAGGCAGGACAAAAACCCCAACAAGCAGGCCCTCCATGTTACACAGTGACTGTAGTGAGGTTTCCCTCTGATGTCCTGTCCACACCCTTGTTCACACTGATCCTTTTACAAAAGTCTTTCCTTTTCACTTCATCGCATGGCCTAAGGAGCAGTCTTCCAGGGCTTTTGTAGTTTGTAGTGATCTGTTGGAAGTGATTTGTGCTGTTTAGAGCATTCTTAATCTAAGATTAAAACTGCTAAAAGCTTGGCGCACAGCCCTGTACTATTTTGGTACTTCTCAGTAGAAATTAGTAAACTTTTCTACATTTGTATTTTATTCCCATAATTATGCACTTCATAATGTATCATTACAGAAGAAGAGGATTACACATTGTTTAGGATTTTAGTTTTTCAGAAGTGTGAAATTTACGTTTTCTTTTAATTTTGGCATAAGCTTAAAGAAGAAAATGTGTTTAAAAATATACATATATATCTTCTATCATAAAGTGGCTGCTGCTGTATTTCAGTCATGCAGGAATTTCACTTGTAGTGTAGTTACATTAATTAGGAGTCTAGTGAAATTCAAAAGATAATAAGCCTGAGAAATTGATGTTTTCTTAATGTTTTAGTCTTATTGTGGGTGATATTACTTAAAAAGAAATTCTTGAATTAGTAAGAAAAAATAATTGTATTATGCCCTCTACTTGAGAACCCTGAGGTCTGTCCTGGCCAGCACTGGCATACCTGCTGAATGTGGTCAGTGTCTGTCATTAGAAGTGAGTACACCGTCCTTCATGTTTTGGTTGTGTTGAATACATAAAGAAGTGTTTTGTTTTTTACATAGAGATTAACTGTCCAAACACAAATTGACTTAAAACTTTGAGATGGTTTTCTAATAATTGTGAACTAAAATGTTTATATAATACCCAAATGCGCTATCAATATTCATAGCTTTATTGAAGTGTAGCATGTGATTTGCAGGTTTCTTCTTCCAGTCTGTGGCTTGAGAATGTGAATGTACCCCTGAGATCCCATGTCTGCCTATTAGGCGGACTCAATTCTAGCTTAGCTCAGGAAAAGGAAAAGTATCACTGCTAGCAAATAATAGATTTTTAAGAGTAAATGGACATTTTCCCTTTTGCAGTGGTAAAATTTGCTTATTATAGATAATATTTAAAATACTGAAAATAATAGAGCAGGGAAAGAGCCTGGAGTGTGCGCAGGGCCTCACGTAGACATAGTTACCATGGCCGCCATCACTCGTACATCAGAAGCAGCACCGGGACCACCGTGCTGTTCACGGGTCCTTCTAACTTTGGGGTGCTGCTTTAAGACCATATATTCTTGCGAATGGTTGTCCCAGAACTGTAGGTTGTTGACAGTTGGCTTCCCTAAAAATACGAGTTCAGTGCTGCTGCAGCGGTGCCGTCAGCAGCTGACCTGTGCTGGCAGAACAGAAGGGAGAATAGTTAGGAGGAGGAATCTAGGGAACAAGAGAGAGGAGGAGAGAGTAAGGATAAAGGCAGCGACACATCCGGGGCCAGAAGCCAGGCAGCTCCAGTCAGACACAAGAAGCAGTGAGTGAGATGCACAGAAGGAGAGAAAGGTGGAAAGCCCGAGGAAAAAGATGCAGAGAAGCAGCAGGAAATGAGCCTAAGCTCAGGCCACACTTCCTAACTGACGAGAAGTCATCATTTGGGAGCTGGTCGGTGGTCCAAAAGAAGGCCTGGTACAAAGATCTGTCTAGATTGGAGTTTGGGGTTGGCTGTGGGTCCAGCACAGTTCCTGGAGCAGGTAACCAGGGTGAAGGTGTCTGCAGCATCGTCTTTCCCGCTCTTTTTAAGTGGCCTTGGCTTTTTGAGGCTTCAGTTAAGTATGGCAGTGAAGTAGCCTAGACAAGTCTTTTTTTTCCTCCCTTCAAACTAATATTTATTCTGTGTTTGTGAAATTCTTTAGATTCAGGTGGTATCTAAAGATATATTCAGGAAAATGGAGCGTTTTCCTACATGTTTTTTGCACCCTTAGAAAGGGTTAGCGATTACACTGTGAACTCTCAAGAAACAGATTTTCAACTATAAACAGATATATCTTGATTCGTACCTTTATCTTCTAATATCTAGAGAAGGTTTGATGGCTTTAAGTCTGGCAGTAGACAACCTCAGAGTTGTTATTGTGCTACCTCTATGACAGGCTCCTTGCTAAAAAGGACAGGAGTTTTGTCCCATTTAAGTTGACCTCATACAGAATGTCTGTTTCAGACAGCAACAGTAGCGGCTATGTTCCACTTCTTCCGAAAGCCTCCAGAATCCAAAAAGCCCTCGGTATCGGAACCAGAAGCAGATGGATTTGTCCTCTTAGGTGAGTCTTTAAGAAACAAAGTCTAATTAGATGAATGCTTTTAAAAATTAGTTTGGTAATTGTATGATCGATTTCTAAACTATATTCTCAAATTTCAGAGTAAGTTGTGTGTGTAATTTAGAAAGCACTATGGATCAGATTGCTTCTCTGACCTTTCCTTTACTGTCAGGAGTTAAGTGCCTTGCCAGCCAGCCAACCAGCCAGGCTCTGCCAGCCCCAGTGATAGTCTCCTGGAAGCTGCAGGTGCTCCTGGCCTTTCCTCTCACCTCCTGAATTTGCATACAGCAAAACTCCAGAAAACCCTCAGGCCTCTTGGAGACTGTTGTCTTCTGGAGTTTGGCAATATATTCTTCTCTCAGGAATTTATTCCAACTAAGTCAGGTTTTCTAACCCCTGTTTTCTGTTTCTCTCCCTTTTGAAAAGAAACCGTCTCTATAAACTTCAGATAAATGTGGAGAACTTTGCTCAGGTTTTGTTTATTCACAATTAGAAATGGCATTTTTTTCTTTGTCCCCATGTACTTCAAGAATATGGCGGTGGCACACTTGTGTGTGTGAGGTCACATACAGTGTGTAGAGTTTTCATAAATCTTTTTACCATCTACCTCTTCCGCCTCCAGCATGGAATATTAGAGACAAGGTCTGCCCATGGGCGGTGGCTCTGCCTTTGTGCCGTCTCTGTGACCTCGATCAAATGTTTCATCGGTTGTTTTGCAGCTTCTCTAGACTTTGCAAGTCTCCTGCCTCAGCAGGTAAAGTTCATTTGCTGTGGGCCGCCTTGCCTAGTCCAAGGAAGACTGGAGTTGAAAGCATCTCTGATTGAGACTCTGACGTCTTAGAGGCTTAAGATTTGCTATTTGTGAGGGAATTTCCAAGACTTAATTACTCTAATATGCTCGGTAGCAGCTGTTCTGTCTGCTCCAGCCACACTAATTTTCTCAAAGGCTCACATGCTGTGTTTTGAGCAAGCCATCCCAGGATCATCTTAGACTGAGATGATTGATATTCCCAGGACTGTATGTTTCTGTTTGAGATTTATGAAGAGGAATCGCTTCTATCATAATCCTACAAAAACAGTAAAATATGCAGTGTAGTTGGTATTACACTTAGTTCATATGTCCCAACAAGACCAGAGTTCCAAGGCCTCCTTGTCTCTCAGGAACCATCAGCTCAGATTTGTGTCTGGTGAACCCTGTTTGGTTTTTAGCTGCAAAGCTTCCAGCTTCACTGATTTCCTTGCAAAAAAAAAAAAAAAAAAAAAAAAAAAAAAAAATTGTATACCTGGTGTTCTGTGGACTTAGCTCTCCTGAAGTTTTATGCTATAACCAAAATCATTTCTCTGCTCTCATGTCCTGCCTTATTTCTCTTTTCATCTGTCACATCATCTTCCTTCTTCCGCAGGGGCAGTGCCCAGGCCTACAGTTAAGTAGGAGGAAGAATGCTGCCTTTCCAGCCAGCGCCTTTGAGTTGACAGCCCAGCTCTAACCCGTGCTAGCGTTTCTAGCTTTAGGAGCCTATTTAGCAATCCCCGGTGCCACTGAGCATGCTATCAGTACTTGCCCTATGGGACTAGTGTGGAGTTAAATTAATGTGCACAAAACACTCAGAATAACCTGTGAGGTGGTACTGTCACCGGACACAGAGAACACAGGTTCTTCTCCTTGTCTAAGAAAACTGGAGTTAGGGGCTGGAGCATTGCGTGCTCTTCCAAAGGACCCGAGTTCGATTCCCAGCAACCACATGGTGGCTCACAACCATCTGTAATGAGGTCTGGTGTCCTCTTCTAGCAGGCATATATGCAAAACAGAATATTGTATCCATAATAAATAAATAAATATTAAAAAAAAAAGAAAACTGGAGTTAGCCTAGGTAATCTGACCCCAGAGCCTATCTTTTTAATCTCTGTACTCTTGCAGTTTTTAAATGCTGCACTATCAGCATTTGAAAATTTTAATTTATACTTGTTTAGTTGATATGAAACAAGAGGCGTATGAAGTGTGGTGCACTGTTAATAATGCGGCTCAGTAGATAGTGATGCCGCCCTGGGCACATTGCAGAGGTGGGGAGAGCGGTCCACGCCACCACGACCTCAGTTACACCTGTCGACCTGTCGGCATTCAAGGATTTAACTGACTTTCTTGATGCTAGTCCTGACGGTTACTAGGACTGTTGTGTCATCTGTAAAACTGCAGCGACAAACTTTAAACCTTGTTTCTTCTGGAAAGCCGCCCTTTTTTGTCGTGTCACTGTGGCAGGGCGCTATGTAGCGGCTGCTTTAGTCGCAGAGCACGCCGCATGGAGGTACTTTGAAAGGTAGGTAAGTGGTGCACGGGGGATATTTTAGTGAGTTGGTTGTTAGCAGGGGTGGTGCCACACCCATGTGTTCTGGAATACGTGCTAGTCACCTTTCTGTTGCGGTGATGAAGCACCACAGCCAAAGCAGCTCAGACGAGAAAGAGTTTATTTCGGCTGTGGTTCCAGGGGACTGAGTCCATAGCAGCTCAGACGAGAAAGAGTTTATTTCGGCTGTGGTTCCAGGGGACTGAGTCCATAGCAGCAGGGAAAGCAGGCAGGCCAGAGGCAGACCAGGAAGTGGAAGGATAGCATCTCAACTTTTCAGTCTTCTACAGGAAGCAAGGAGAGGGAACTAGGAGTCAGGTGAGGCTGTCACACACACATACACACACACACACACACACACACACACACACACTTCCTTCAGCAAGGCACCAGGTCCTAAATTTCCATAACTTCCCAGACAGTACCGCCTACTGGGGAGCGCGTGTTCAAGTACATGAATGCAGGGGTAAATTTTCATTAAAGCCGCTCAGTATAACCAGCGGTCATGGTGCACACCTCTAATCCCAGCACCCCAGAGGCAAAGGCAGGTGGATCTCTGAGTTTGTGGCCATCCTGGTCTTTAAAGCAAGTTTCAGGACAGCCAGGGCTCTATACATGGACACCCTTTGGTGGGGGGGCGGGGCACAAAACAAACAAACAAACAGGGATATATATATACATATATATATATATATATATATATATATATATATATAGAGAGAGAGAGAGAGAGAGAGAGAGAGAGAGACACCCTTTGGTGCGGGGACGGGGGGAGGGACGACAAAACAAACAGAAACCAAACCATATAGTATATATCTACGTGCGATTTTAAAATTGTCGTCTGAAGTAGATATATTACAGGTTTTGTTTTCTTATCTTCTGGCTTAGGAATGATAAAAGCATATGGAAACAATTTCCTGACAAAATGGTCGCTTCAGAATCGATTAGATTATCTTCTTACCCTTATAACCTGCTTCTAAGAAGGTCACAATAAATTGTAGTCCCTTCTCTTTCTCCCCCTGAAGAACACCTCTCTTATATTCCTGCTTAATGCTGGCTTGAAATCTTGGCTCCAGGCAGAACCAAAGCCCTTGATAATGGGAATATCTAGAGTATTCATATACAATTGCTCACGCTTATGGAAAGCCCTGTTCCTTACCAAGATTCCTAAAGCTTGGCCTGTGTAGACTGAGGAGTGTGCGGAAAGAGAATAAAGGGAGGGTAGAGCCAGTAGAAAACATTCTTTCCCTTGAGTAGCCAGTTTGTATTCACATAAGACAGCAAGAGTTCATTCGGTAATGAAGTTGAAGTAATCCTCCCAGGGGCTCATTTTACACAAAAACAAATTGCAGTTCTCATTCGCACCACTGGGTGGCGATTTTTCACAGTTCTGCACTACCATGGCACTGCTTGTAATTACCAGGCCTTCCTCTGTTATGACACATTTAATTGTGCTTTTAACACATTATCTTTAAGTTGATTACAAATCTACTAGTGTAATGTGCAACCTTGTAGTTATTTTAAATTAGGAAAGGGTGTTGTGTAGATGCTGACAAAGGCCTGTATTAGCTTATTATGTTACAGGGAAAACAGTAGTGATAAAACCATAGGATATGAAATGAAAGGAAATAATGTAGATTACTGTTGTTGCTGCACTAATATTGTTGACCAAATATTGAATATAATTTTGGAGCCGGCAGAATGTAATTGGGCAAACTATTGTGGAGACAAAAAGAATTGGGTTACAATACAACATCACATTCGTTACTATATGCAGGCACTTCTTAAGTGGAGACGAGAACTCCTAGTTTCCATTAGCTACTGTTTTATAAAGCTGCATTTAAAACTCTTGTAGTAGTTCATGGCAGCTTGGGCTTTTTCTAAGTATTGGTATTTAGAATATGTATCTTAGTTTCCCTCTTTTACATAGCTTAAGATTAAATCAGATTTTAGAAAGTAATCGGTTGTTTTTAATTTCTGATTACATTCCTCATTCTGTAATTAACTTAAAATACTTAAAGTACGATCACTGTATTTTTAATCCTAGCATTCAGGAGGCAGAGGCAGGAGGATCTCTGTGAGTTCAAGGCCAGCCTGGTCAACAGAATAAGCCCAGGACAAGCCCCAAAGCTACAGAGAAACCCTGTCTTGAAAAAACAAAAAAAAAAAGAAAAGGAAAAAGAAAAAAAAAGTAGTCTCTTGTTTTTGTTTTCTTTTTTAAATGGAAACCTAGCTGTACAAGGTGAGGATTTACACTCCAAGAATGGGGATGGTAGTAACGATGGTAGTGTGGAGCTGAAGCTGTTAATCACAGCCGCAGAGACTAAATCAGCTTTCAGCATGGGCTTCCTATTATTCTAACGCCTGTCTCACCAGACAAGTGCACTGATCTTAAAACATATATTCATGGGTTTGAGAAGTAATTTAATCTTGTCCTTACATAATGATATCTAGAAAAATTCAAATACATTTAATTTAACATAATGATCTCTCTCTCTTTTTTTTTATTCTTGGTCTTTAAATTCTAAAACAAATGTACAGGAGTTTTTCCTTACTTCATTATGCAGTGGAAGTTCTTATTTTCCCCTTAACAAATGTGGAGCTGTGTGTAATGGGTGGAATGTTCGCATTCATTGCTGCTCCATCCTGGTCTAGCACTAC